TCCCAGTAAAAACATCCCATTCCCCTCGTGCTGTGCTGAATTCCCACTGAAATCCTCAGGATTGATGCCTTCCCTGAGCTTTGTGTCCGGTGTATGGATCCCGTGGATCAGACCCCATGGGGTTCCTGTTGTTTCATGCCCATTATCTCAATCTTTGCCCCAAATCCACGAGATTTCTCCCGGATTTATTGCCGGGGCTGGATAACCCGGCTCAGGCTTAGCCGAGCCAGGCTTACCGGCCCCTAAACCCCAGGAGAGCAGGAACAACACGTGGCCCCCCGGCTGCTCCGAGGGGACGATGCCACGGGCTCCCTGTCCCTGTGCCAGTCCCGAGCCCACGGGAGCTGCCCCGGGATCCGCCGGGAGCCTCCGGAGCCGCTCGGAACGGCGAGCAGAGCACAGAGGGGCCGAGCCCCAGCCAGCTGTCAGTCCTGGTGCCAGGAATGCTGCTGCTTCCAGTAGGACTCCAAAAAAATTCCACTCACGGGAAGCTGTTTCCTATTGATTTTATCTTCCCCCCCTTCTCCCCTTTTTTTTCCTTTTTTCTCTTTTTCCCCCTTTTTTTCCACCCTTTCCCCCCTTTTTTCGCCATTTTTGCCCCCCTTTTTTTCCAGTATTTTTTCCCCCTTTCTCTTTTAAAGAACAGAATATTCCAAAGTTGTGGAAAAATAGGAAAACTCTGCACTGGATCCTCTGCTGAGAACATGGGTGGGATGTTTGGAATTCTGATTCCATTCGTAATTCCATTTTTAATAGGAAGCCCTTGGGAAGGTGTCCACGGAGAGGGCAGGACATATAGAAATTGTATTTATAGATATAAATTATATTGATATAAAATGGTATTTGATATCTAGTTTATATTTCTCTAGCTATATTTCTCCATGGGTGAGGTGCTCACAGGTATCGGATAAATGGCCTAAAATTCCCACTTATTTCAAGGAGGTTTTCCTTGGGTAATTCCTAACTCCCTACAATTTTCAAGTTGATTTTTCTGCTGAAATGAGACAGGGTTTTAATCTCTCAGGAAAACAAATTCCTATTTTTTTGATGGATAACCTGGCAGTGAGCGGAGCCCATCCCAGTGGCAGGAAATTTGGGATGAGGAGATGTTCACTCTGCATCTCCTGCAGCCCAGCTTCAGAAAATATGGCATGCAAAGCCAGGGATTGAGGTAGAATTCTGCTGTTTGATGCTTCCCACAAATTCCCTGTGCTCCAGCCAGCAGCACCTGTGTGTCCATTCCCGGGGGTCTGGGGAGTTCATCCCGTTCTCCCTTTGCTCAGGAGCTCATCCCAAATATTTCCCAGCTCCGTGGTGCTTAATTCCTGGTCTGATTTTGGAATTCCTCTTTAATTTGGCATTAAATTTGTCTTTAATTTGTGTTTAATTTGCCAGTGAAGGGAATCGATAGGGCTCCATTCCCGGTTGAGCTGTTGGAAATCGGAGGGAATGATCCTTAACTATCCAAAATGCTGAAAATCCAGGGATAAAATAACAAATACATTTAAGCAAAATCTATTTGGAGCCATTAAAATTCCAATGCCTGATAAAAGGCCTATTTTTGTTGTCCCCAGTCAGGTTTTCCTGCCTGACCAAGCCTCAAATCCCAAATTAAAATATTGCAGTGGAATTCTTCTCTTAAAAATTATTTTCAATATGAAATCAAGGGAAATATTGAATTAAAATATTTGAGAGAATTAATTTCCCTTCCTCTTCTCTGCTTATGGAAGAGTTGCCTCGTCCCTCTCATCCTGCTTCCCAGAAAACAGCCAAGGTGCCCTTTCTCCAGGGCAGGGATTGGGATGACTTGCATTTATCCTTTGGAAGTTGCTTCTATTTCCTCCTGGATTTAATCAGTTTTTCCAAGCCCACCGTGGTTCGAGTGGCTCTTTATGGATTTATCGAATGATTTGGACCGGGCTGCTTTTATAACAAAAGCACACAAGGAAAATTTCATGAGAAAGGGGTTCCGGGAAGAGAAGGCAGCTTTTTTCCCGGAGGTATTTAGGGAGCAGGGAGTCACAATTCCGAGTGTGCCAGGCAAGCGGGAGCGGCTCGGAGTTCTCCCTTTGTCTGTGCGGTGATTGGCATTGTGGCCATTCACTGAACATCCCGAGATTCCCCCCACGCTCTGGCGCTTCCCTGCCTTCCCCAAACCCACCCAAACTTTCTCCCCGTGCCGGCCAACTTCCAGGCAGAGCTTTGTTCCCCCAGCCCCAGATTCTCCGGAGTGCCGAGCCGGGAATTCTCAGCACGTTGGCACAGCTAAAAATCCACCCCGGCCCTTCTCCCCCTTCCACCCTGGCGATTTTCCCCCCATGGCGTAGGTTTTTTTTTCCCAAATCCGGCGAGTGGGGCCTTTTCTCCGGGAAAACGCGGCCGTGGCCGCTCAGCCAGGAAAAGCGGGAGCGCAGAATGCTCCGCTCCTGCCTCTTTTGAGGAGTTTTAGCCATGGGGCTTTGGCACTGCCACCCTTGTCTTTGTGCCAAAAAATATCCGCAGCGGCTGCCGCATTCTAGTACTGGAGGCTTGGCTCGAAAATTCCGCAGTGGATGCGGCGGGAAGCCACGGCGCTGAACGCTTTGCTTTCCCCCGAACCCTCCCGCAGCCGGTGGGGCACCTGCACCTTCCGCCGTCCCGACCCTCGGAAAACGCTGAATTCCCGGGAAACGGGGGCAAATTGAGGAGCGGCTTTTCTCGCCCGAGCTGTCATTGTTTAAAGAGCCGGGTGTTGTCACAGGGCTTTTGGGATGTGCCGCGGGAGCGACGGGAGCGGAGGTAATTGGGAATGGATAATTTATAGGGAAGACGTTCCCCCTCGGCCCACCGGGAATGGTTTGATGGTTACGGGTGAGGGGAAAATCCTCAAACTCTCCACAAACTCTCCACACAATCTCCACACAGAATCCACACAAAATCCCCACAGAATCCCTACCGAATCCCCACAGAATCCCCACAGAATCTGCAGCTGGGGCTTTTTAACAGTTCCCGGAGTTCTGCCCAGGTGTGGGGTGTGGAGGAGGTGGCTTTTGGGAAGCTCCCAGCGGCCGCCTCAAAACTCGCTCCGGAGCTCCGTAGCGCCGGGTTCGGTGGGAGAAGCGGCCGCTGGAGATGAAATCTTTCCCGAGGAGCAAAAACCTAAAAAAAAAAAAAGCCAAGTCAATCTCCCGCTGGCTGCGGAGCCGCTTTGGTACCTCGAAGCCTTCGACAGAGCCCTGGCCGGGTGCCCATTGATGTCATGGAAACACTCAAATTACCGGGAATGATTCACGTCTCCGGCGGTCCCTGTTCCTCCCCCACACGGGCGCAGCGCGGCCGAGCCCTGACAACTTGTAATTTGCGGGGGGTTTATTTTGGTGCCGGGGTAAATATTTCTGCCCAAACTCAAATTAAGCTGCGGCTGAGACGATGGCAAAGGGGCTCCTCAGGTGCTCCCGCTCGCTCCCCTCAGCCCTTGGTTCCTTTCGGGAATTTTTTGCCCCCCCAGTCCCTGCCGCTCGTTGTTCCCAAAGACTTCCCGGCCCTCTCGGGGTGATGGGAAGCAGACGTGGATTGAACTGTCCCATCTCGGTGTTGAACTCGTGGATTCCCTGTTTGGATTTCATTGTGGTTTCAATCCTGACTTAGGTCCGGTATTCCCAAGCGGAGGGTTATCCGTGATCTTTGAATACCCAGCTCCGAGTCCTTCCCAAAGTTAGGCCTAATCCCCCATCCATCACAGCAATATTTGGGAGATGCTCGGGTATTTTATATGGAAAACAACAAAACCGAGGAAGAAACAAAAGACTCCAGATACTTAAATTGGGATGGGGAGAAGGAATTTTGATTCCAAGCCACTTGGAATAACCAAACTGTGTCCACAAAGGGCCCTCAGAGCCGGTAGATGGATACTAAAGGCTCCTGGAGTTGGGATGTGGCCACTGATTTCGGGAATGATTTCAGTGAGCCCCAGCAGCCTTTGTCTGACGGTCTGCCTCGCCTTGGCTTCTTTATGGAATGTGCCTGGGATTGGGAATACGGAGCCCGGCAGCAAACCCGGCTCCTGGGTACAGCGTGTCACCAGGAATCACAGGGAGCATCCGGTCCTTCGTGCCGGGTGCTGCACACGGGGCTTTGCTGCCCCAGCCTCGGAACACAGGGAGTTTCGGGGGGGATTTTTTCTGCCTCCTGGATGTTTTGTCAGCGGTGCCTCCCCCCTTCCCCTGCCGGGCTTCTCCTCTCCCGAAGGGTGCTCTTTCCCTGGCAATGTGTTTGGGATCAGCTCTCTTGCCTGCTCTTTGTCTGGGAGCACGTGGGGCGCTGCTGCTCAGCCACCACTTGGTGCTTGGCACAAACCTCCTCTTCTCTCCCTCCCTTCACCCCTTCGATCCCAAAGAATCCCCCTTGCTGCCCTCTGGAAAAGCGGCACAGTTGAGGCTGCGAGTCAGGCTCTGGGATGGGAGCGTTCAAAGCTTCCTGGGAAAAAGGAGAGGGAAGAAAAAAGGGCTTGGAGTGGGCACAGAGATCCCCACTCGGCTCCTGGCCCTTCTGGCAAATTCCCAATGCCCAATCCGTGTCTCTTTCCCAGGTGGATCATGAGAGAATTTTCTCCTGGGAAAGAGCACAGAAGCATATCCCCAGCAGCTCCTGGAAGCTGGGAGAGCCGGGAGTTGGGAATGTCTGCTGCCTGGCTGGGAGATCGGCTCCCACCTTCACCCAGCCCGTGGAATCCCATCAAATCCCAGGTCCAGGAGCAGCACAGCCAGGATTAGGAAGCTTAATTCCCATCACCATCACCAGGAAGTTTAATTCCCATCCCATCCATCCCTGCAGGAAAACTGTGAATCCCTTTCTGTGCATTCCAGTGGCAGCAGTGCCTGGTTTATCCATGGAATATATATAAATACAGATGGAATTGGCATTGGGAAAATGGGATGAGCATCACCTAAAGCACTTGGAGAAGCTTTGTGTGTGTTCCTGTGCTGTCTGTGTATTTACCTGGATTTTCCCTCTTTTCCCAGGTAAAACAGAACGAGGTTCCTACTCATCATACGGACGAGATTCCAACTTACAGGGCTGCCACCAGGTAAGTGCGAATCTGCTCGGAAATTCCCACTGGAAAGCTCCTTCCTGAGGTTTTCCAGCCAGGATACAGCTCCTGGAGGCTCAGCTTGGCTTGACCTCCTCCCACCCCAGTCAGGGCTGCTGGGAGGCATTCCTTGTGTCCAAAATCCCAGGCTTGGGAATGCCACCAGTGGGAAGAGCTGGTGTTGACTCGTGGCTGCTCCCCTAAATCCCGCTTTCCCTGGGATCTGGGGCAATGCCGTGTGCACACGAGGTTGGAAATACGATTTGCTGTCCCTTTTTGTTTGGGAATCGCTTTTGGCCGGGAGTCAAGGCCAGCAGGCGAACGGCAAAGCCGCCCCATGGGAGCTTGGGAAAGAGGGAGGAGTTCCAGGGAATGCTACAATTCCAGTGTAACACAAAGGTATGGCGTGTGTGCCTCTGCCTCCCTGCACTCGGAATTCGCATCTTTTCAAGTCTCCGGAGGAATTCCCGGCCTAAAAACACTCTCTGTGGCCAAATTCCCATCTTTGTTCCCAACCAGTCGGGTTTTTCTAAGGACACTTTCTCTCCTCATTCCAAGAACAGTGTTAATGGTGGGGTTTAATCCCTCTGCTCCTTCCTTTCCCTTTTCCGAAGGGTGGCAGCTTTAGAAAAGTATCCGAGGGATTTAATGGCTTCCTTAATATTCCAGGCTTTACAGGCTTCAAATCCACCCGGGAGAACTCAGAGCAAGTGCCAAAATGGGGATATTTTAGGCTTGATCCCTGCTTTCCGTGTTCCTTGGGAATGTGGGGAAAGGATCTATCCTTGTGTTTTCAGGATGAGGCAATTTGAGGAATTCCTCGGGAATACCTGGGTGTGTCGGGCTGTTGTGTGACCATTCCCACCACATTCCTGAGTGCCAGGCTGGCACTGGGAGAGTTGGAAGGGAAGGGAAGGCGTGGAAGGGGCTGCCCAGGGAATGGTGGAGTCCCCATCCCTGGGACTGTTCCCCAGATGTGTGGACATGGATCACAGATGACCGTGGATGGTTGGACTTGATCTCAGAGGGGTTTTCCAAGCTAAATAATTCCATGATTCCAATGGTGCTGGGCCTTGCTTAGGTGAGATCACACATCCTCAGTTCCCTGGGGAAAAAGCTGGAATGATGTGGTTGGGGTTCGTTCACTCCAATAACTCGCTTTCCTCGTGTTTTGATGGCAAAATTCCTGTCAGGATCATCCTTCTCCTTCATTTTCCCTTCTGAGGTATAAGCCAGCCCAAAGCTGCGTGCAGGGATAAAATAATGGGATTTGGGGAGCCACAAAGGCTGTTCCAAGGGCAGGTTGGATGGGGTTTGGAGCAACCTGGGATAGTGGAAGGTGTCCCTGCCCAGTGGAACGAGATGATCCTTAAAATCCCTTCCATTCCATGATTACTTTGTCCATACAGGAATTATGTGACGGCATTACTGTGACTGTGGGATGGGGCAGCCACAGCTTCTCTGGGAATTCCAGCCCAGCCCCTCGCCACTCTTCCAGCCAGGAATTCCTGCCCAACATCCATCCCATCTATCCCAGTGGGAAGCCATTCCCTGTGGCCTGTCCCTCCATCCTTTGTCCCCAGTCCCTCTCCAGCTCTCCTGGAGCCCCTTTAGGCCCTGGAATTTGCTCCGAGGTCTCCCTGGATCCTTCCCTTCTCCAGGAGAACACCCCCAGCTCTCCCAGCCTGGCTCCATGTCTGAGGGGCTCCAGCCCTCGGAGCATCTCCGTGCCCAGGTTGGATGGGGTTGGGAGCACCCACGGAAGGTGTCCCTGCCCACGGCACACGTGGCACTGGAGAAGCTTTCCGACCCCTCCCACCCCAAAACATTCCAGGAAACCATGACACCCACGGAGGGATCATCCCACCCCAGAGGTCCCCAGGATCCCCTTTGGAGCCTGGAATGTCCCAGGGAGGCCCCCAAACCCCCCCCGCTGTCCCCAGGCCCCTGTGGCTCCTTCCGGTGTCGCTCTCACTTCCCCTTCCCTGCTTTATTTGGGCCCAGCCTTCCTGGTTTTTTGGGCTCAGGGTTCCTGTTTTTTTGGGTTGGTTGTTCCTCTCTCCGGGGGTTTTCCCTGTCGCCGTGGTGGGATCGGGAGGGGCTGGCAGGGGGTGTGGGATGTGGGATGTGGGTGGGATGTGGCCCCTCGGGCGCAGGAGCAGAGCCCAGGACTCCCACACAGGGATCTCAGGGACTCCCAGAAATGCAGAGCTTGGGTCCTTCCTGAAGTTCCTGACGGAATTTCACCCTCCATCTGTAGTTTCCCAGCCCTGCCTTGGTGGCTTGGAACTACTGGCTTCCTTGGAAAAATTATCCCTTATTTGTAATCCCTCTCAGGAAGGAATTCCTGGCTGTGAGAGTGGGGAGGGGCCAGGATGGAATTCCCAGAGAAACTGTGGCTGCCTCTGGATCCCTAGGAACGTCCCAGGCCAGGTGGGATCACCTGGCAGGTGTTCCTGCCCTGCTCCCATGTTTCAAACCCTTGGGAAGCACTGCTTTTCCCCGGCTCCTCCCCATTCCCTTGTTAGTATGTATTCCCAGTTGGAATCAATCACTCCGGGGAGATGGTTCCGTGCTGACCAGTCTTGGACAAGCTTTGCAAAATGATTGATTCCCAGCCCAGCTTTGGAAAACTTGTGAGCAGCTCCATGTGGAGCCGGAGCCAGTCCCGCTCTGGCTCCTGGCAGCGCCGGGGGCTGCGGGAGCAGCCATTCCCTGCAGGCCTGGAGCTGGGAGGCACATATGGAAGTTTCTACTCCCTGTCACGTTTGCTGGGCATGTGGTACCTCCCTGCTATCCTAATGCTGGGACTGACGGGATGGAGCGCGTGCGGAGCGGCACGGATGGCTCCGGAATTACAAACAGCTTTGATCGGCCTTTTCCTGGGAAAAGGATGGTACTGGGAACCGAGGCCGTAGCTCTGCGTCATTCCCGTCTCTGCACCCTGGGAAGTCCATTGTGGATCATTGCGGAGATGATCCAGGAGCTGGAGCCACTGCCCTGTAGAGCCAGGCTGGGAGAGCTGGGAATGTTCACCTGGAGAAGAGAAGGACCCAGGGAGACCTCGGAGCAAATTCCGGGGCCTAAAGGGGCTCCAGGAGAGCTGGAGAGGGACTGGGGACAAGGGATGGAGGGACAGGCCACAGGGAATGGCTTCCCACTGGGTTAGATGGGATGTTGGGCAGGAATTCCTGGCTGGGAGAGTGGTGAGGGGCTGGGCTGGAATTCCCAGAGAAGCTGTGGCTGCCCCATCCCTGGAAGTGTCCAAGGCCAGGCTGGAGCACCCTGGGCTAGTGGGAGGTGTCCCTGCCCATGGCAGGGGTGACACTGCATGATCCTTAAGGTCCCTTTCCACCCAAACCATTCCACAGGGAGGGCTCTTCCCTGTCCCAGGGAGCTGGAAGGGCTGTGGATGTGATTCCATAGAATCCCAGAATCCTGGTTTGTGTCCCATTCAGAGATAGGGAATCCACTACCCCTCTGGGTGACCATTCCCAAATCCATGATGCTGGATCATGTCAGGATGTGGAAGCAGCTTCTCCTCTGAGGATCAGGACTTTTTTCCCTATAAATTCCTGCTTCCCATGGGAAAAAGGGGGACTCTGTTTATGTTCCCAGCCAGTGAACAGGAAGAGGTTAAAAATCCTTGGAGGCTCTTGAAGCTTTTTGGCCCTGGCATTCCTTTGGTCTCTCAGATGTTTTCCAGCAACTTTATCCCTGTAATTTCCATAAAATACCAGGAGCTCTCCGAGCCTTCCCTGTGTTCTCCCATTCAAAGGGAAAACACGGATTCTCTCATTAAACTTGGGAATTCAGCCACGAAACCCCTTGTTAAGGGGGAGCCAGGGTGGGATGTTCCCCCTGAGCCAACCTGAGCCGGCATTCCAGTTGCAAGGCCTTTGTATCCAATGTTTTCATGGGAAAACGGGATGATAAGGACCTTGGAAGGTGAGCAGGGCCAGGCTTTAAGGATTTGCCAGAATAATTTGCCAGAGAGGAACATTCTGAAGCACACCCTGGTAGAACATCCCCCCTGGATCACCTTGAAAGGGAACCGAGGCAGAATCCAACAGGGTGACAACTTTTTAGTGGGTTTTGCCGAGAAAAATATTCCCAAAATATTCCTTTCTGCATCTCACTGTTCCTCAGCGTCCCATCCATCCCCGCCAGAAGTGGTGACACCTCCCAGAGGGTTTAGGCTTGGAAAAAATGGGATGAGGGCACTTGCAGGTGTTTGGAATTTCAGCCTGGCACAGAAATGGTGCGTGGAAAACAGGGATACCAGGATATGTGTCTCATACTTTATAATATATAGGAAAATCCTGATAAAAATGAGGTTTATCTGGGAATTATCCCACCCCTTATGGTGCCTTTTTCTCCCATCCATTAATATCGTAGGACTGTCTATATTTCCATATCTTCCTCCATGTATTTCCCGGGATTTTGGGGTGGAAAAGGGACTTTTTGCTGAATCCAAAGACTGATGGAGCTCAGCCTGTTTGCTCCAAAACTGGAGCTGCTTTGTTTGGGAATTTGTGAGGGAATAGCTTGGGAAAGTCACCCAGGTTGGGAGCAGGGGGAGAGGAGCAGGAATTTGTCAGGAAAACGTTGGAGCCGCTCCGGTGATCCAGGTGCAGTTGGGCACCTGCACGGGGTGAGTCCTCCCAGCTGGAAGGTCATGGAACACATTTCGTGCTCCCCTTTTCCTGGGAAAAGCCCTCATTAAACAGGGTGGGAACGGCAGGATCGCCGCATCCTGGCCGACATTCCCGGTGCCAGAGCCGAGGGAACAAAGCAGGGAAGTGGTGCTGGCAGGGAGATCAGAGGGATCGGAACGGGAATAATGGAGGGAAGGAGCTTTGATCTTTAATAATGTCAGGAATTTTAATTGGAGGGACGGAGCAGCAAGAAAAGAGCGGGATGAGCTGGTTTCCTGGGATAAAGGGCAGGAATTCCTAGGAAATAAGAAATAATTGTAGGATAAATCACTGGGAAGTTTAGTGGCAGAAGGAATTCCTTTAAATGGATTCATTGGGGCTCAATCTCCTGACAAATGGGTAGAAAAGCAGGAAAGGTGTCGGTGTTCCCGGCAGATCCAGGTGTGGGAAGGGGAGCGGGAATTGCTGGGAGCCTTCTGCTCTCTCCAGAGGCACTTCCAGCCTCACAGGGCCACCTCTCCATCGGAAGGTGGATATTCCTGCTCCCACATTCCCACTCCAGCCAGCCTGGGGACCTGAGTACCTGCAGCTGCGGAGCATCCCGGGATTCCCAACATGCATCCCTGCTCCTCATCCTCCCCCTGCCCAGCTGGGAGAAACCAGGGATGTGATCCGGTGCTTTTCCCCGATCCCGCCCGGATGCGGCTCCTCCGAGGCTTTGGGAGAAGGGCCCAGCTGTCCCTGGAGCTGCATCCCGGGGCTCAGAGGGGCCCGGGAAGCAGCCAGACCCCCGGGATGCTCCGACCCCAACCCTTGGCAGCCGTTCAGGGAAGGAGCTTCAGCTGTTCCCGACTCATCCCATTTTGCTCCCGCCTGTGACATTCCAGGCTTGATGCCGGATCGATGCCAACAAAAAAATATACCAGGAATTCAAAATGCAGGGATTTTTCCCTGATCTGTGATTTTTAGTCCAGGTTCCCTTTAATCTGAGTTAATTTCATTAGTAAAATTCCGCACTCGAATCCCACCTGTTTCCACAACAAAGGAAAAATATTCCAGCTTTTTCTAAGGATGATTTCCAGATTTTTCTCGACCTCTTCAACCCAAGACAAATATTCCAGTGAAATCCACATAATTTTCCTTTAAAAAGCAGCCCCTGAGCTTTGCAGCAGAAGCAGCAGTTGGGTTTTTCCAGGAGGGATAATTTCCTTTCCATCTGGATGGATTTGGTGGATTCTCTCCCTCTCCAGCTTTAACTCTTTGTCTCGTTATTCCCGTTTTGGAGGCAGCAGGAAAAAAAAAACCACAAAGGTGCAGACACACCATAAAAAAAAAAGGCAAAAGATTGGAATTAATGAAAAATCCAGGGCTGGGGCTCCGGGGGGAAAATCCTGGGAATTTAGGATTTTGCTCTGTTGTTTATTTTGATAATTTTGGGAATTGTTTTTGGCTCCAATTCCAATCTCTGGACATGAAACCCTCTGTGAGGTCCCTTTGAAACCTCCTCCTTTCTCCCGAAATGGTGACTCTGATCCCAACAGATTCCTGAATTTCCAGAGCTGGGATTGGGAGTGGGGAGGCCCTGCAATCCATGGGGGTGCTTTGGAAAGGTTTGAAGTTTTGGAGCAGAGCTTGTTGGCCCTTTTATAGGATTTTGGGATAAATACAGATATATTTTCATCCCAGTTTTCCTCCCCATGCTGGCTGGGAACCCTGAGGCACCGGGAGCCGAATTCCCAGCAATTCCCAGTTCGGGAAGAACCAACCAACTGGTGCCTCCCAAAATGACCCCCTTAAACTTGCTCCCCGTGTTTTCTTGTCCTGTAAAAACCCCCTTTGGGATTTCTTTTCTCATAGAAACCTCTGGAGCTTTTTCCTGAGGAAGAAGTTGGGATGAGGAAGGCTGGGCTCCGTAGCGGACGTGGCTTTTTCTGCTCCTTTCCTCCCCTGGCCTTGGAAAAGGCTCTTGGTGTGCTTGGAGTTGTCCCGGAGTGGAAGGAGAGAGTAGCTGGATTTAGGGATTCATCCCGAGCCTCCCAGCCTTTCCCCCCCGGGATAAACCCGGCCCAGCTTTAGCAGGAGAGTTCCCGAGCCCAGCACTCCCTGACCATTCCCAAAATTCCCTTCATTTGCAGGCAATGTTCACTGGAAATCAGTGTTCCCCTGGAAAATCTTTGAGCCATCCCTTAAAATCCCATTTATTTGCCAGGAATATTCACAAGAAATCCATACTTATTGTGAAACGGCCCAAAGCATTCCCGAAATTCCCTTTTTTTCTGATATCCACAATGAACCAATATTTATTGTGAAATGATCCAAAGCCTTCCCTAAATTCCCTTTATTTCCGGAGAATATTCACAATAAACTAATGATTATTGTGAAATGACCCAAAACATTCCCTAATTCCCTTTATTTCCAGAGAACATTCACAATAAACTGATATTCATTTGGAAACACTCCAAAACATTCCCTTAATTCCTTTTATTTTCAGATATTCACAGTAAATTAATGTTTATTGTGAAATGATCCCAACCATTCCCTAAATTCCTTTTAGTTCAGATATTCACAGTAAATTAAAGTTTATTGTGAAATGAACCAAAACATTCCCTAAATTCCCATATTTTTGGATATTCACAATCAATCAATATTTATTGTGAAGTGCTCCAAACCATTCCCTAAAATCCCATTTATTTTCTGAGAATCCTCACAATAAGCCCATGTTCTTTCAGAAACACTCCGAGACATTCCCAAAAATCCCATTCTTTTCAAAGAATGTTTTCAATTTCCCTTTTCCCTTGGAGTTCTGGCACCTCTGTCTCTATTATTCCCTATTATTCTGCATTATGCAAGAGATTCCCAAGGTTTTTTTGCTGCTGCAGGTGTTGTTTATCACCGGAGCAGCCTCGTGGCAGGTGGAGATTATCCATGAAATTAGAGAGAGGAGGGAAAACGGTGGGATTTGAGATTTTGGGAGCTCTCCAGGAGGCAGGTGGGGAAGCAATTTTCCCAATCCCTCAGCTCCTGTTTGTCCATGGGATGAGAGGAGATGGGATGAGAGGAGATGGAATGAGAGGACATGGGATGGGAGGAGATGGGATGAGAGGAGATGAGTTGGGAGGACACAGGATGGGGACCCGGGCTGAGAGAACACGGGCTGAGGACGTGGCGCGAG